ATATATACATATATATATATATATATATATATATATATATATATACATATATATATATATATATTCACCCTTTGCCATGATGTAACCCTCAACACCATCGTGATCATATCACATGTGTAAAGGTATAACGCTCGCAAAGCTGTAAAAATCTAAAAAATCCCATTGGTGAAGCACGCAGCATGACGAACAGGCCTTGCACACATTTCGTAGAGCGGCAGGGGAAACTTGTACGTGACGCACCGGGTAAGGCACATGCACGCTTTTCATAAAGTGGAAAGAAAAATTTTAAGTATCTATACATTCTTTTCATAGCACGCTAGGAAGATTTGCGAGTATTTAAACAAGTACCCGAAGATTCATGAGTGCCTTTCTTAGCGCTTTGGAATTGAAGACCCTAACCAAGGTGTTTCATGACATTGACCATAGGCCTAACATCTCTTAATGTGCCCCATATGTGGGGAAGGAACATGTAGGCTACTAAAATTCAAATTGAACACACTTACAAGGAACTACTTATCTATAATAACACCTACACCATTTCTAGTACGACTCCTATCCGAATACCAAATTTAAAGTTTTACAAGTTTTTAAAAACTTGTAAAACTTTAAATTTGTAAAATTTTAAAAACTTATAGGAAACTTGTGATAACTCTGAAAAGCTTGCTTGCAAAGACTCACAGAATTAATTGCAATGGAAAAAAAATGAACTGAACTCTCTCTATCTATAAACAGGAAAAGATGTCACATGGGTCCCTATGCTTTCACAAGAAAGTAGACAATCTGGATTTTTTTTACACCAAATCGGTTACCAACTCAGGGAGAACCAAGACAAGCATTTCTGTTAAAATGCAGTGTTTTCACAAGAAATCACTCCCGTTTCCATTGCCACTTTTTCGCCCTATAGGAGTTGAGGTATGTATGAGGTGGTCAGAGATAGGCCACCAACTATTCATGCATGATGCAACAGCTAGTGCAAACCACCGGCTAGCCAAGGTGCAAATTAGAAATCAGATCATCAATCCACAAAATGGTTCATAAGTGATGGACAAAGTTGCTATTCACATGAAATATATCAAGGTTTTTTGGGGTTGTTGGGTTCAATACTATTCCAAATGCAATGTTGCCTAGATTGCAAAATTATCTAGATGTTAGTACAATATATCAATTGCAACTTGTTTGGTTCAGCTTTATCAACCGAAATTGTTCCACTCCTTATTGTAATGATCAGCGGTGCTATGCTATCTATAATGATTAATGGCGCCTCTGTCCTTTCATTTTATTCTCAAATCTTTTATCCATCAAGATGCTTTCAATAACTAACATCAATCAAATTGACATCTAAACTGCCACATGATGTCAATCAACCAAACAAGAAATATTTGTTAACAACATAGCATGATACTGAAGATATAATCAAACTATGAAGCTCATAAACTAAATAAAGCTGTGATTGGATGCTAGAAATTTCAGCGGGGAAAAAAAAAATGAGGGTTGAAAAGGTTAATTTAATGGCGCAGATTCATATTCAACACATGGATTGTTGAGATTTCCTTTCATTTCCATCAATTTCCTTCGATCCAAATAAAGCAGAAATATGTTGTAAAAAAATTTAGATGGTGGACCAAGATAATGGATAAAAAAAGCATTAGGACCAAAGAAGATTTCCTTAGGAAATCATTTGAATTAAACAAATTGAAAAAAGTGTAAAACCGTCAAAAATAATCAACAAATAATTAAAAGTAAAACTTATTGACTCCACTATCAGATTGTAACGCTCCAGAATAAAAGAAAAACAGAAAAAACTGGAACAGGTTATCGAAGGATGAACCTTCCTTGTGAGGTGATTATAAGGATCATTAACCTGGTCATCTAAAACAATGTTGGACCAAAGAGAAGCACAGATAACAGTTGCAACAGCCATTAACCACAGATAGACAGCTGAGATGTCCACAACTGGCCGAATAGGAGAATACAATAGAACAACCACTGTAATAGAAAATGAGTTCTTAGTAGCAGCTATAATGAATGGAAAGTGCAAAGTAGGTAGAAATTAACATTGACTGGAGTACACTGTCGATACACATCATACAGTTTGGATTATGTAAAACCCACATTTGTTCAACTTTCTGATAGGAAATACTTGATTTCAAGTATTTCCTATTCACTTTCTAGCAATTATCCAAGCAAAAACTGCTGCTCACAGCAGAAACAGCAAAAACAGGGAAAAATCTGGGAAATACAGCGAGAAAACTTGAGAAAAATCTTGTATTTTTACTAATAGATGCAAGGAAAATAGCAAAGATACAAGGATGCTCTATTCGAGAGGAGGATCGCACTCTCCCAAATCTCTAGAATACGATCTAGAGCCCAAATCAACAAGAAGAACAAGAGAAACTTCAAAACAAAATCACATAACCCTAAACCTCCCCTTTACTCCCTACTCAATGCATACAATTCAAAATAGATACCAAAGGACCTAATTGCCCTCACTTCCCCTCATTTTGGCTCCAAGAAGCAACTTGAATTTCAAGTGGACCCCGCCTCTAGCCTCATGCGGCTTCCGCTTCATGTCCGCCCGCCCTCCTCCTTCGGTAAACCTGAACCGGCCCATTGGATTGGGCAGGCTGGACCGGTCCAGGGAGGACCGGTCTAACACTTTCCTGGAAGCATAAGAGGCAAAAGATGCATAATACTATTTTACCAAAATAATGGCAAAAGATAAAGAATTTATTTATGTTTTCAAAGGAAATTTTGAGAAGGCCAAAAAAGCTGCAGGGCTAACTTCTTTCTAGAATGAGTGAGCAGATGCACCATACATATGATAGCATAAATAGAATTGAGAATTTTTTCAAAGAGCATAATTACTCATGTGCAACAAGGTTAAGTATGATACGAATCAATTCAACAGGCCCGTCAGAGTCACGTTGCACTAGACATGCAAAAAAAAAAAGAGTTGCATTTGGCATCACCTCTTTTTCAAATATGCCATAGTCTGAGTTCGAAAAAACCACGCCTGTCTCTGCTAAGAGAGTTTATGTTCCAGGTAACAACCATTCTGATTCATAATTGAGAAATTTACAATCATAAATTTAAAGTGAATGATGGGGAGAAAGATGATGAGCCTGATTAAGATTTTATGGTTCCATCATTCCAGATTAATGTGAACCTTGGTCTGCTTAATCAGAGGACAGTCTATCAAACCTAATCAAATGATCCTTATTAATAAACATGAGTTGCATCATCTAAGAAGATCTTATAGACTTTGGGTGGATATTTTTCTAAGAGAACAATTTTAAGTTGGTCGATATTAGCCAGTAGATAGCTTTGTACCTTATCAAGTGCATTCCAAGAAAGGTTTTAAGATATTGAAGAACTTAAGGGCTCCAATTATGATCGTACTTTAATGGTGTCAACTTATTAAAAAACAACCCGGTCATAACTATTTACTTGTGTTGTCATTTAGCAACAAAAGCACCAGTTAGAGAACAAGTGTCACGTTCTTACCAAAGAGAAATCATTTGAAAGTGAACATAGATATACGTTTGACAATAGATTGGCTCTTTGTGAGCTCAGATTATTCTTAAATTTATCACACTTGACAAACAAACATGAGGGTTGATGTTATTGCTTTAATTGATGGACGATAGATTTTGCTTAAATATTTTGGATTTTATGAACCTTCCTACTTTTTTTGGTATTTTACATGAACTCGTAGTAAAATGATTTGTATGGGGATCTAAAACATTTTGAAAATAGTCCCCCTCTTGTTGATATTTCTTCTCAACATGGCCATCATTGGAGTGTATGTCTAAACCTGACTACTTTGAACCTTATCAACTTTACCTTCTTACTTATAAGGGATTGGATTTGACGATTAGCTTCATGAGCTACCATACAAGCGAGATGGAAATAGGAGTTCGCATTTTAAAATAAACAATCAATATAAGAGGCTTTGAAGGCATAATTCAAACTTAAAACAAAATATCTTCTGAAATTTGTGAGTGAATATTCAATTCCATATTAGAGTTTGAAAATGGGACTAATGACTATACCCTATAGATAAAGCGACCCCATCTGAGAACAATGCATAACAAAATAAGTTTTCGAAAGAGAGTTCATAAGGTTCAAAATAATTGCATGATTTTCAAAAGAGGTGCATGATTTTAGAGCAAGGTAAATTTAAATTCAATTAATTCTTACTCCATGCAACATTCTCAGAGTTTAAATCTTAGCATTTAACATGTTTGTCAAAACATATATGGATGATTTAAGTTTTGTAATTATAATTTTTTTTATGACATACACGTCTTCCAGTGCACTTGTATACTACACTTAAGATGCACTTACATGCTTTTCAGAGTACTTGCACTATGTGTATGCACGCTTTTAGTGCATTTGCATTATACATGCATGCTCTTCAATGCAAATGTATGATGTACTTGCAAATGTTTGATGTATTTAAAAAATATAATTGCACGCACTACAATGCATTTGCAAAATAAATTTACTCGCTTTCAAAACATTTTCATCACTTGCACGTACTTCATTGTTCTAACATGATGCATTTACGAGCTTCAGCGTAATTGTATAGCCTTCAACACGCTTACATGATGCACTTGAACACTTATCGATGCAATTGCACATTCCTTGACGCATTTGCATTGCATGCTTTCATGTTATTCAATACAATCACATAGCACATTTATACATTTTCTGATGTGTTAACTTAATACATTTGCATCAAAACAAGGGCCTGCCTTTAGAGTAATTGCAAGGTTCTTGAGGTGTTTACATCTAAAATGCACGACTTTGAAAGTCGCCTCAAAATACATCCACATAACTTGGAAGTAGTTGGATTTATGGCTACAAATGAACTGAACTAACACCAGTAGAACCAAATCTCAAATTAGGGGAAGCTAAAGAAGGTCCAAATGTAGATAAAGAAGTTTACCAGAGACTTGTAGGAAAATTGATTTACCTTTCCCACACCATACCAGATATAGCATTTATTGCAAGCATGGTCAGCCAGTTCATGCAAAATCCAAAGCTGGCTCACATGCAAGATATAGACAGAATACTGCATTATCTTAAAGGAAACCTAGGTAAAGGGATTATCTTTAAAAGAGATTGTGGAATAACCCAAGAAGTATATACTGATGCATATTACGTAGGATCAACAGTATATAGATTATCAACCTCGGAATACTACACATTCCTTAGAGAAAACCTTGTTACATGGAGAAGCAATAAACAAAATGTAGTGGCAAGATCCAGTGCAGAAGCAGAATATAGAGCTATGGCCTTAGGAATATGTAAACTATTATGAATCAAAATAATTCTAGAAGACTTATGAATCAAGTGGGAAGGACCCATGAAGCTACATTGTGACAACAAATCAACAATCAGCATAGCTCACAATTCGGTTCAACATGATAGGACCAAGCACATAGAAGTTGACAGACATTTCATAAAGGAGAAATTAAACAGTGGTCTTATATGTATCGATCATGTCTGATCAAAAGACCAGCTTGCAGATATTCTTACCAAGGGACTTGATGACTCTACCTTTCTGAGACTGATTACCAAGCTAGGAATGGTGGATCTGTATTCCCCAGCTTGAGGAGGAGTTTTAAATCTCAACCGTCCCTAGACATTTTGATACCACAGCTAGGATGGGAATCCGTGGGAGGCTCACCTATTAAATCCTAGCTGCCCTTGGTATTTTATCCCACGGCTAAGATGAAAATCATTGGGAGGTTCACTTGGATCACGCTGATCTCCTTCCATATTTAGATGGTTGATTAAAGAAGGATAATATTAGTGCAATAAAGCATTTTTATGTAATAATTAGTTTCTTTATTAGAATATCTTGTATAGATTTATAAATAGGGACAAGTTTGTGCAATAAAATTAAGTATTTTTCCTCTCCAATTCTCTAAAATTAACAGAAACCATGCAAGTTTAGGATAGTCCTGTAAGTCATTTGTAAACACACTCCTTAAGTATAACTGTATTCTTATCCATATCAAACAGCACCAAAAATATAATAAGTTTAAACTTAACAGTCATATAAAACATGTTTTAAGATAACTTACTCCTGCCACCATTAGACAAAGATTTCCTAAGATTATCTCCCGCAGATTTTGGTATCATTATGACTGGAATAGTGATGCTAATGGCAGATTCATTTCTACTGCAAACCATCTCATAAAGTTCTGCAATAACAAAGCAAAAAACCATAGTATAATTTTAAAAGATGTGCATAGTGTCCAAATCAAAATATGTTTTCTTTGAAATGCAACACACAGAAAACAACTTAAAACCTTCATCATCACTAGTCACCATCAAGCCAGCTGCACCTGCGGACTGTGCAACTTTTGCCTTATCGGTGAAGTCACAATCCCCACGCATGGCCAATGCAATAGTACCAGATAACTGCAACAAAGAAAACACCAACAAAAGATCTGCGTCTAAATTAAGAAACGAACAAAGATTAAATTGCAGAATCGACGCTGGAAATAAATTTTATTATTCCTGATCAATTAATTCAATTAAAATAAATTGCTATACCAACTAGGTTTAGGAATATGCCATTTTTCATACGTGAATACAAACATAAATCTTTTAAATTTAGATATAGTTGCTCTTTTAATTTAAATATGATTGCTTGTGTAAATTATTTGGTCGGTTGATCCTGTGCCAACACTTGTATGACCATTTTAACTTTGAAGCTGAAAAATATAAATAATGGTAATATAATTTAAGTTACACGTGAATATCAAGTTTTAGAAAATCATCAACATCATCTTCATAATTAGCTTATCCTAGCTACTCATGTAAGCTTTATGATTACTTACTCTCCATTAGTTCCTATTGATTGATGTATTTGGGTTAAGTCTATTATATACAAAGTCTTTTATAGAATTTCTATTCATTATCTCTATAGTCAACTCTTTTTCCTTTAAAATGGTTTGACATTAATTTTATTTATTTATTTATTTTATAGGTGCATTTTTTATCCTTCACCATATATGCTTAGACAGCTAAATCTATTTTCACTACCTTATCAAGAATAAATGGTACTCCCAACATCCCACTAATATAATAATTTTTCAACTCATCCTTCCTAGCATTCTCACAAATCCTTCTGAACATTCTCACTTCTGACATCCTCAACTTCAATATAAGTGATAATTGAATACAAAAAAATTAGACCCATACAACAAAACCAGCATAATTCCAGTTCTATAAAATTTACCTTAAGTTCAAATGGTATTCTTTTTATCAAATAATTCTTAGGTGCTTCTTTACTTCGACCGCCCAAACCTTAACTAAATAAGTTACATCCTAATATATATCCTCATTCTTAAGGTATGTCTTTATTTTATAGGAAGAGTGATTGATAAATGTTAATATCACACCCACTAATATTGCATATAAAATGCTCCAACTTTCTTCTATTAATCCTATGCCTCATATCTTCAAAACATTTCCTCCATTCTACTAATATTCCACTTTTACTGAGCCATGCGAATTAGAATTATGTTATTTCCTGAAAAACATAAACTAAGATAACTCATTTTGAATATCCTTTATACGCATCTCCAAGACAATACAAATATATACAAACTCAATGTTGATTCTTGACATGTTCCAATTATGATTGACAATAATTTAAGTATTCTTTCACTCTACAACTATTTCTAATAATAGTCAATGATTCATCGTATATATCATGAATAACTTAAATATATTTTTTACCCATACGTTTTTTCATAAAATGCATCAATTCAATTCCTATGTTACTTAATCCTACACCTAAACAAATCAATGAAAATCTTGATATTTATGCGCTTTGTACCTTTCATTAATTGCCGTAGCACAAAATTATTTCAATAATGGATCTAAATCTTATAAATATCATATCTTTGGTCTTTACATTAATTGCATTAGCACAAAATCACATCAATAGTCTATCTTCATGGCATAAAGCCAAGTTGACTCTCCAATAGAGATGCAATTTTTCCAGATCTATTTCTATTATCAAATAACTTCATTGTCTAACTCATGAAGTTTGGTTATTTATATTTAACGCAAACCTACATCTCTTTTTTTCCTCTTAAAAACAGAAAACAAATCCTGCTTCTCTAATCATTATCGTTTTATTCTTCATATTTGCATCAAAAACTTTTGCACCAAATCATTCTAATATTATCATGAATAACTATCCAGATCTTAATACAATTTTAGACAAGTGAATTAAAAAATACAAGTTAATGGTAACAGCCTTCTTTAAAATAATTGAGAAGTTAAAATAGAGTAGAATAATTTTAAAATAAAGATAGTGTACATGATTCATAATTTTCATGAATGAAACTTTGTTAATAATCAAATAATGTTATTAAAAGATCAAGTGATATTAAATGTAATAGATTTTATTATATTGGATCTCTTATATAAAAATGAGGATGTAACATGAGGATAGAACTAAAATAATTAGATTTTGGGGAGATGAAGATGTGCTTTAGTGCTCAATGTCGGTCATATTTATCATATAAATAGTTCCCTTCACTCTAGATTGCTATTATAGTTCTAGATAAAAAAGAATCAAAGAAAACATGAAGATATAAAATAAATTTATAAATGATAACTAAATCATCTATGCTATAATTATACGAGTATTAAGGAAAAGTTCATAGAAGTTGCACAAAAAAACATGCAAAAGATAGATGCAACGCCTCATATAGCAATTTATAGAAATTAAAGAAGGTGGAATAAGCCGAACCCAAATAGTTGTCACAAAGTTAAAGATGATGATGATTCCATTTCATTCTTTTTTGTTTCCTACGGAAAACATGATAAAATAACAAAGCTTTCTACCAAATTCATACGAGAGTAGAAACATAAACCATGAGTAATGCACCTTTTCATAACTAGTATGTGAAGTGAACGGAAAATGTGAAATGGAACTGATGATACCGAACACAAAAGTAACAAATTATAGTGCAATTGCAAAACAACCCATACAGCCTATTCTGGAGAATCAACAAAGAATTATCTACCAAAAAAAATAAAAATTAAAATAAATACATCGTTCTGATGTCACAAAGACTTGGTGACTTTAAGGATGTAAGCCGACCTTGGAGGATAATTTACCACAGGAAGTGACTGGATTTGTCAGAAGAGCAGGCCCTTTTACAGCTTCAGAAAGATACCTGGGCAATGTTGCACCAAATCTGGCACTTACACCTACTATTTCAGGGCGCTGAACACCATCTAACCAACTCTTTACCATAACCTGAGAAGCAGTAATTGGATGATTAAAAGTCAATATTTTATATAAGGAAAAAAAAATATATTTGCGTTTTTTAAACATTAAAATGATAATATATACTTATGAACTGGTGATAGGAATGAAGCTTTATTGAACCAAAGCAATCATCATGTCGAACTGCAAACAGGAATTAGCAAGCCAGTTTTTTTTTCATCTCAAACTTAAGGCACAAGTGATTTTTTTTTTTTTTTTTTTTAAATCCCTTTTTTTTTTTTTTTTTGTTCTATCAACATATCACCTTATGGAAAGAAAATGATTAAGAAATAACCTCTGTTTAAAATTGCGCAATAAGAGGCGGCCTTTGCACAATTCTGTCCAAAAGCGCCTTGAGGCGCATGCAATTTGGACACTGATTGAGGCGTACGCCTCACCCTGTGTGAGGCGCGCCTCAATTGCGCAATTATGGGTGAGGCGTACGCCTCATCCAAATGGTCTTACCTTACTTAAAATCAACCATTAAAAAAGCGGACGAGGCGTCCACATTGAGTTGTGTACTCGCGTATAGGATTAGGGCTTCCTGTGAGAATTAAAAGGCGAACTAGAGGCGAAGCCGTGAGGGAAATAGACGAAGCTGTGAGGGAAGGAGACGAAGCCGTGAGTGTAGGAGATAAAGTCGGAAGGAGACGACGCAGGGAAAGAAACAAAGCCGAAGTTGTGAGTGCAGGAAATGTTCAGGCATCGGTTAGGTCGGAATAGCAGGTACGCGGTCTTGTGGCCTTGACTTTGACGTGCAGTAACGAAAGCTTGAATAACTCCTTGATTCGGCTTTCTTCAATTCGATGCCGCATCAGTACAAGCTCGGTACACTCAATACATGCTCGGTACTTATTCCTTCGCTCAGTACATGCTCGGTACCGAACCAGTACCGCTCGGAACTGAGCGCGTACATGCTCGGTACTGAGCCGGTAGCATTGCTCCGGTAAACTGAAGCGAACATGCTCGGTACTAAGCGGTAGCATGCTCGGTATGAACCAGTACCGGCTCGGTACTGAGCGGTACAATGCTCGATAACTGAGCGGACCATCTCGTACTAGGCAATACATCTCGGTAACTGAGCGGTACATGCCTCGGTACTGGCAGCGATACATTGCTCGGTACTGACAAATAATAATAATATGCTCGTACTGAGCGATACATCTCGGTACGGCTCGGTACTGAGTCCGATACCCCGCCAGAGTTTGTTGTAAGAGTATTGGGCGCTCACTTGTTCTTCTTTCTGGGTGTGAGCGAAACTGGAGTACATTATTAAGTGCAAACAAAGAGAATAAATCGGCTATCTAACAGTCAGAAATGAACTCTCTCGTATATATAATGCACAACAAGAGCGTTAAAAGATAGGAGGATATGAGGAATAAGGGGTTGAGGATGATGAGGACCCTGTTGGTGTTGATGATGTGTCAGCTGATAATGAGTGGTTCCATAGGATGATGAGGACATTTTGTCATTATCAGAACTTACAGCTAGAAAGATGTAAATGTGGAATGTCTGGAGGGGCGAAGACAGATACAAATTGGGCACATCAACTAGTAGCAACACCCGCAACATCCACTAGCTCTACAGCACAATAATCAAGTAAAGATATATCCACAATTTCTTATATGCTATCGGCAGTATATTTATATCAAGTGAGCAATAACAGCTAATGATCTTTTTATCTTATTGAAACAGGGAAAGAGAACAAGTGAGTCATATTAAAGATGATGATGACATTGACATTCATAGATACAATTGGAAAAGATAACTTCCCTTGAAGACCCATTTAGTGATGGGAAGTGATTGCATTTTATATGTTTTTTGTACTATTGGGAGTTTTGTTTAAACTAATATTTTAGTGATTTTGTACTTTGGGATATGATTTTATTGCATCTACTTTCTTACTTTCTACTATTTTCATATATCATTTAGATGTTTTTATTGTAAGATACAATATTGCCATTATTTTTCTGCTAAAACCCTTAATTTTTCATTTACGCGATTCTGTGTCCGTGAGGCTTACGTTTCAGACCGCCTCGAGGCTTACGCCTCGCCTCACGGACGAAAACCGCCTCGAGGCTTATTTACACAATTTTAAACCTTGGAAATAACTGCAGCAAACAACATCCATCAATATTGCAGCTTGTTAAATTGTTTTAGATACATAATTATAAATTAAATTAAATAAATGTAAGTCTCATTTGGATATTATGTCAAGAGTTTATCCCCTTCAATGGCTCTTCTTAAAATCTGTATCTAATTGTATGCTCACTTAATAAAATATTAAAGATATATTTCTATCCTTAAAAGAAATCCTAGTCATCAATCAAGGCCACTCTCATTGCCACTAGGCTCCTCTATCTTCAAGGTTTCCAAGAAGGTTTCTTCTCCCTTTTCTTTCGCACTAACACATTCATCAGAAAGGGCATCTTCCAACCATGCCGAGATGCTCATTTCACAGGAACTACACATTGAAAATGGGCATCAAAGAAGCATAGGCAAGGGTACAATCATTGTGTTAATATGGTAAACGAAATTCATCATGATAACAAATTCATAGTCATCAAGTGGAATCACCTCAATTGATTATTTGTTCTTCCAATATTAGATGCTCACTTTTATGATTTACGTTGATCATTAGGACCTCCTTATAATTCAGTATCTTGAGCCATAAGCAATTACGCGTTTTTATACTCAAATGCCTAGCCAATCACAATCTCCCAATTGATGAAAAGGTCATGGACCATTATCAACTAAGATGCTCATCTTCATTTGTGCGACCTCCATATTCATAAACATCAGTACCTTAAACGTGTTCTCTTTTTTTGTCTTTCTTAAGCTACAAAGATATGCAACAAACTCATTCACATATCCTCCTATTCCCATTCACATCTCCTCCTATTCTCGCACATCAAATGTAATAACCAGAAATATTCAGGTATTGGTTTAATAAATAAATATTAATAAATGTATGTTATTAATATGTTGGTTAAGATAATTATTAGAGAAATCTACAGGAGGCATTCCAAAGCAACGCTTGGAAGAGGGCGGTTTGGAAGGGGACAGTTATAAACTGGGGCCCACCGTCCAATTTTTTTTTATACCGTGGACATCTCCCATGCTTGCGTATTCACTGGAGAAAAGGTCGCTGGAGAGGAATATTTCGCAAGCCATTCATAAGTGTTCGTGGAGAAGAAGACAACCGCAAGCAAGTATGGTAAGGAAGGGTGACTAGGTGAGAATTTCCTGAAGACTTTCATTGCTGTCTTGTTCGGCCAGTAAAAGGCTGCGGCACAGAGGCTTTAGAGTGGAGTTGCTATAACGTGTATGCACTGTAGCATTACTCGGCAAAGGAAAGTTTCAGCAAAGTGATTACTAGAGGGCTGTAGATTCATTCAGCTCAGTGCATAGATCAATTCAGCATAGTGTTGAAGGAAAGATTGCATGTGGCGTGGTAGGAAAGGAAAACAACAGGAATGGTAAGTGAGAAGAAAGTTATTTGTAATATGGTAAACTTGTAACAAAGATTGTTTGTGATGAATATGAAATGGTGTAATGACAGGTGGTGGGAAGTAAGCGTTCAAACTATTTGAAGAAGCAGTAAGGTGGTGGGAAGTAAGCGTTCAAACTATTTAAAGAAGCAGTAAAGTGAAGAAATAGAAATTTTGAGTGGTATTTTGAGAAGTTAGAATTTAAGAAGACTAAAACACAATAGATAGAAAAAGGTAACAATCCTAAATTTCTCTTATCTTTTATACTAGTTCAATTCAGTAAAGTTCTTATGCGAATCATAATTTAGGGTGATATAGATTATATAGTCTTATGCAAAGAGGAGGCTTTGAAGTGACTTATAATAGAAGAAGAATAAGAAGTGAAGTTTTGGAAGAAGCAACCTGTCTAGAAGGTAAGTAATGCAAATTAAAGTTTTAAATATAATTCTTGTTAATTTTACATTGTATGTTGGTATTTGAATGAATGCAAGAGAAATATGCATTACAAGTAATTCTCTGCTAAAGGATGTTCCTAACCTGGTTTCTATATATGAAAGACCTCTTCTATATTTGAATCATGAGACTTTCAAATAAGAGTTGTTATGTTTCATTGAAGATTTTACTAGTTGGAAGTATTTTGGAAAGAATATTCATTTTTAACATATTGTACACAGTTTCATTACACAAATGAGTAGCATATAAAGACCTTTATGAAAGCAACAATACAAGTATGAGTTATGTTATATAAGTATATTGAATATCAATTTAACATAAAGTTTGGCTATATATATATGATGTATGATTTATAAGGATAATTGGGACAAAAGGGTTCTCAAATATGTAATTACCTTGTAAGTGTAGCAAAAGGGACCCTAAAAGAAATGATACTTGCATAGCAGGTGGGGCAAAAGGAACCCTAAAGAGGTAAAAGAGACCTCTATGAAATTTAATGACGATAATGTCAGGTTTTTCTGGGCTTCATTGAATTTGTTTATGAAAGAAAAACCAAACTTTTTAATGAAAAAAATTGATATTCAATACGGATCTAAGAGAACATTTAAAGGTAATGCCAAATGAGATGTTTTATAGTTTCTCTAGTAGTTTAAAATTTTATTCATGTTTTAATGTTCTAAATTTTTTTAACATGCAAGTTTAATACTAATTATAGCTGCATAACTTACTGAGCCTTATAACTCACCAGTATTTTCATTACTGGCAGTTGTTACGGGAAAAGGGAAAGAAAAAGTGGTTGCTGACTAGATTCAAGTATTTCAATCCCAGATGTTAATTTTATTTCTGTTTTAAAACTAAATTAATGGTATGTGAACATTCCCATAAAGTGTTTGTATGGATTTTCCTTAGTGTCTCTATAATCATATTTTGTGGATGTTTAAAACTTTTAAGTGCTTCCGTTGATGTACCAGTTGAGGTTTATGATATGTTTATATGTAAACATGCAAATGATGGATTGTTTCAAACAATTATAAGATCAAGAAAAAAATGTTATGTTTTATTTGTTACACTCTACAATACTGTTCAAGGGTACTGTGGGTTGTTACATCAAACTTGTTGAGAACACAAGCTTTGCCCAAGATGGGTACCCATGCCCTCATGTGACTAGCAATTCAGAGTCTATTGACGCATCTTTTCATTCCCAATTTTCAAACCATCTTCCCCTTATTGCTTGGGGCCGATGATTTCCATCATTTTAATGGTTGTACTTGTCATGATTCCCCCATCATTGGCCATATTCTTGGGCTGAGTCAGAATTTCCGTTTAAATTGAACTTAATCAATGTCTCAGCCATTGTCTTGGACTTCTGCAGCCTTTGCATGCACCTGCATTGTAGCTTGAGCTTAACACACAATTTGAGTCCATCCATGAACTAGAAGCATGCTTCCTATTCACATTTATAGGATCTGAAGCAGCAGCTCTGAAAGTGCCCTCACATAGTCTCAGACTTCACTTTTAAGCTCCAAATAATAAAGTTTAGCCTGATCTTCTAGAAGGAGGGGCAACCAATCAAGGAGAACTTAAGAGAATAAAGAAAACTCTCCACAATTCACTCCAAAATATCTATCTTATCTATTGACTCAAATCAATGAGAGAATAATTCCAAGAAATATTCACTCAAGTGAATTACCCATGAATTATAAAATAAATGTATCAAGTATTTATATAACGACTTGTCTTATCAAATAGGTTATCTAATGTGGGTACCAATTATCTTATCTTCCCTATTTTTAGCCTAGATTTCAATTTTTATATAGTTTATTTGTTTCCTTAGCAGGGTATTAAATGGCTATAAATATACCTTATGATTAGATTTTAAGATCAATGGAAACCGAGTGGAAGACATTTCCATTCAATTGGTATTACCCTTTCTTACTATTTTTATTCCTCTCTCCTCTAAAAATCTGTCACACCATCTCTCAGGAGACAGTGGAGCTATCAACCTCCTTTATTCCTCTCTGTTTCTGCATTCAAGGTTCAACCAGAGCAAGAAATTCAACAACCTTGCTATTACAACCATCGAATGCACTCACTCGAAGAAAGTACTAAGAATTAAAAATGCAATTCATACTCTATTTTAGTGTCATATTGTGAATTCTCTCACTAATAACGGCAAAGATCAGAGATTACCAAAGATAGACAATAAGTCGGAGAAACAACTAGCAATTCTCCAATTGAGCATTAATTGAGGTCTAATTGGTTGTATATTTAATGTTAATGATATTTAAGCTCGCTTCATAGACATAATTAGATTTGTAGATTTTAATTCAAATTAATATAACATCATTAGCATTATTTTTTAAGTTGTTTCTAAGGTATTGATTTATATGAATTCCTTTTAATCTGTTATATCTAGATATTTATTTTGATGCTTCATCATACTTATATCTCTAATAAATATAATATTAATCTTTACATTGATAAGATAGAGAAATTTGATTAGAAAAATTAAAGAATGAGTCATGAAATAAGCAAATTAAGCCATCATTTAATGATTATTTATCAAAATTTGTGAGTTATTTGTTAAAAATAAATAAGCATGAATCAACCAAAACATAAAAGAATAAGCGAAATCAGTGTTTCAAGCTTATTCGTTTCTAAGAAAAGGCTTTTAAATTTCTATTCAAGCTTGTTTATAACCAAGATATAAATAAGACTTTATATAAATGAGTATGGAAACAAGAGCTATCCATAAGGACTCTACAAGTCTCCAAAAGCTTTTATAGGAACTAGAGCTATCCATAAGACTCTAAAAGCCTTTACCACAAGCCTGAGATTATCTAAAAAACTCTTGAATCTTTCATAAGATTTAGGAACTTCTTCTAAGTTTTGGAGGACTAAGTAATCTTACTATTGCAAACAAGCTAACATACAACAATCTTTAGTCAGTCGTATCGAGTAGTAAGCATGCAGTAGAAGCTTTTGGACAAAATAACGAGAGTAGAGCTTTAATGGTTGGATTGAGAAGAGGTGCAGCTTCCTAATGAATCGTAGGACCAACTCAATGCTTGCCTTTATCTATTACCTTTGTTCAATAGATAGAGAAATTGGCTTAACTTCATTTTTCCAAACTTGGAAGTTATATGATTTGGCATTGGAGAAGAATGGTGGAGAAAACATGAATGAGATCAAAAGATCAATTAAAGCAAGAAGTTATAATAACAAGGAATGCATAGGATAAGACCTAAACAAAATACAATGCAACAAACGATTTCTTGACCATATAAATATCAAAGCCAATATATATGTAGACCAATTTTTCGGCATCTTAAATGTGTTTAATTATAGCATAAATGTTCATTTAGACAATGTATTACTTGAGATGTAAAACTAGCAAATAAATAAATGGCACTCTCTTATAACCATAACATCAACATTTACAAATGTCTACCAAACAACACCCTAGATATCAAGCAAACTTTGTTGACACTAAAATATCAAGCTATCTCATTATTTATTAAAAATGATCCAAAAAAGGGAAAAGATCATAATCACCATTGGTCATTCTACATTATTTATGTTTTAAGTTTGCATTAAAAACTAAAACATGTTGCATTGGCATAGTTAGCGATTTTATTTGGATAACATTATTATACACCGATTATTTGTAATTTAACATAACAATAAATGATCAAATGTCTTACTCCAATAACTCAAATAACAAATAGAAATGTTAAAGAATCCTTAGATCCTAAGCCCACCTTACCCAATTAATAAAAAAAAAAAAACCTCCATTAGAGATTCTTAGCTCCATAAGGCGCAATAATAAGGCTTTCTTTGTTTAATCCATCCTTCTAGTTGGTTATTGTCTAATGTGTATTATGTAGTAAAGCATCTACTCTTACATTGGTTAAAGGGTTGCTCCATAAGTGACTTCCCCTGTACTCAAGAAAGTTATTAGGAAGGGTATGCACGTTGAAAGTGGGATTTCCACAGTGCATTCCAACCAAATTCAAACTATTTTAGGAAAAAAAAAGCAGGGAAAAGCTTACTCGCAATGAAGCTTTTTAAGTTTCTAAATACAGTATGAAGGGTCCAGATACCAGAAGGTTTGGTGCGTTGGTCTTACACATCAAGCCGAAGAATCTGAAATAGTGCAGCTCATGTTCCATATATAATGGCTCCATGTGACATGGGTCGCACCAGCTCCCAATATTTCCATGATCACATTTCTACCAGTTCCTCACTAAATAAAAAACAAATCTCGGCATCTAACCTTACAAAAGGCACTCCAAATGAATCTCTTTTCTTCACATCAAGACATGTAAAAGAATGAATAATCTCCACAACCAATACTTGAGATCACATACAGGACAATTAAAAGAAACCACATTCGCGCAGGATAATCTCCTACTTGCGATCCAAATCCCAAACAACTCCGAGACCAATTCAAAGTTCTAATAAAAAATAATTAAAAAAATAAAAAAGGATAATCCTATCAGACCAAAGTTCCAAACCCAAGCTTTAAGCTTACAAGCTGGTACGTACTTATTGCAGCCGGAAAGCTGGTGTTCTTCGCACCATCGTGGGTAATGCCGTCATCCCGCCGCAATGATAAATGCATCCAGCGCAGAAGAGAAGAGACCGACGCAGTGTGCAAAGCCCGATGCTGAAAATTATAAGCAAGGCAAGCGCAAGATCTCCTATTTGCCCCATGGAGTTAATTCCGCTCAGTTAGCGAAACTTATCTCTCCCACCCCTCCTCCTTTATTAATAGTCCAGGATTTCTTCTAAGATCGGCAATAAACGGAAAACCGTCAAGGTCCGATTCGAGAGTCGCATTTTAGGAGGGAATTTGTTTGCTGTAAATAGGAAATGAGGTAGACGCTGGGGGAGGGCGAGAGGCGATTTGGCAGATGAGAGAGAAGACGAGAGAGATGCGAGCGAGCCCGAAAGGAGGGGGGACAACCATTTAGAGGTGGCACTGCCAATATCCCGCTGAATACCCTTGGATTTCAAAACCGTTTCGTAGCAGAACTTTCCCCGCGAAATTTTTTGCCGTTTTTGGTGAGTTTTTTGGTTGTTTGGAGAGCTTCTCCGAGTACCTTTCGAGGGCTGTCAATCTCTTATTTATAAGGTCCAGGGTGCTATGAAACTCTTAAAGTTTGGCCGAATCAAATTCCAAATTATTAACCACTATTACGACTCTCCACGATAATCAATTCAGGAAGGTTAAGGATGGACTCTATTTACACGATTTTTAAATTTTAGTATGCTGCATATTCAAATGTTTATGGAATAAACCAATCCGTAACAAATACCAATATGCACAAATACGAATGTAATACTCGAATAATTACATTATTCCATTTATAATATGTAAAATCTACATTTATTATTGAGTTAATTAAATCGCTCTAATGTATTTTTGAAGAGTCAATTATCTCGTTTAACAAAATCTATTGCTAATTTAATCACATTATTTAGAGTATTACCGATTCAATTTTATCGGAATATTAATACGTTAATTATACCTGTTCGGTCGTAATCGCCGTGCATAGTAGAGGGATTACTGCGTTGAATAGCTACTTCCGCAGAAAAATTCCTTTAAGGTCGTCAACATTTATATAGGGTGTTTTAAAATTGTTCGAACCCAGAAAATAAACGTTACGTAATTATTAGATTAATACACATAAATTTGTGATGATATCAATTTTCATATATTCAAATTTTAACGTTTATTTTTTTAATGTTTTTAATATTTTATTTATTTTCCTACTATATTGAATAAATATTAACTAAACTTGTTTTTATATTTTACTTTTATTTTTTAATTATATATTTTGTTCTATATTATGTGTCGGTTTTGCTATTTTCTATTTCATTTCGCTCACCTATGAGTTAGAGTTTTGCATAAAGTCTTTTCTCGACCCTTCGACGGTGACGATACCTCTTTCCTAGTTGGATCGGAAGTTACAAACATTTGATTCGGAAGCAACTGGAGCTGCTCGCTGTAAAATTAAATTCTTTCCTCCCTTCGCACGCAATTCTTGGCCAACTCCCGAAAAAGCTTTACTTCAACACTGTCCTTGCAGTCCTTATTCCCTATCCTAACGAACCCCATGCTAGGTTTGAACTCTCGGATGTCCCTGTATCAATACCAGCCATCCATGATATGCGCTTGGATAGTTAATGGTAAAACCCCAAAAAAGACCCATCATTCAATCTCTAGCGTATCTCTCCACTCAAAACTCTCCCAAGCCAGTCCCTGGTTTTGTTCGAGCTCCCAGACCCTTCCTCCTCCTTTCGCCTAGTCCAAAACCGCAAATTAAAACCTCGCCGGCGAGAGCTTCCGGTGAGCCGAGGCATTTTCCGCAAATGGTTTCTAACAATTATTCAGATGTCGCCAGGTCGAGGGAGTCTTCTACAAACTGAGCATGAACATTACTACAAATTTAGAGATTCAAAAATCCACCAAAATCCGAAACTTGTTAGATTCTCCTAAAAACTCAAACTTTATTCACGCACTTAGAGTAAAATAGCTTTTTATATAAATCTCGTATTGAACCAAAGATTTGAACTCCCCGTGATTATGTTTCTGCTAGCATAGTTTAAAATTCATTTAAATGGTCCTATCAAATCGATGAGAATGAGATGAAAAATCATTAAAGGGTTTCATTCGACGTGGCTCCGAGTTGTTTTTGTACCGTGACGTGCGATTAGATCTTTAGGATCAAGCTGTTTCCACTTTCTGTCTAACCACGGATCCGATCTTGTGGTTAGCTTTGCTGTCACAGCTCAAATCTAGAGCCCCCCATAATTTCAAACTGCGGGAAAAGATATCCCCGAACCCAAGTTGTTGGGGGGGGGTTAATCACCTGAAAAGGTTTGGGTAAACCGAAATCGAGTCGAGTGAGTTTAAGGCCCTTATCAGAGCTCGGCTCGTTAGATGGAAAGCGGTCGACTTAGCTCATCTCATTGTAAATGAGCTCAGAGCCGGCTGGCGAGCCAGCTCTCCATCCATGGGAGGGAATTTTAATAGGCTGTTAAATTAACGATATTAAAAAGACAATTTAAATTAAATATAATGTTAAATTAATGATTAGGTTTTATATTATATTAATATTTAATTATAAATAAAATAAAAATATATTTTAAAAATATTAATATTTATTCGAGCCCGCCTCGTGAGCTCACGAGCCCGCAGCCGGCTCAAAGCCGAACGTCGGCCGTTTACTAAAACGAGCTTGAAACTCAGCTCGATAAGGCTAGTCTCTTGCGACTCATAAACGAGTCAATCTCAAGCCGAGCTCGGTTCACTTACACCTCAAGTATCAAATTCGTTGATGTGACTAAGTGTCGCACAATTCGAATATCGCGACGGCCGCCTATCTTGCATGATTGCGCCAAAATGATTGGTCATTCCGTGGCCGCCACATGCTCCCGCCGCGCGCCCATTCTTTAAATTGAATTACATTAATTTTTAAATATTTTTTAAGCCATTTTTAAAAAAATTATCCAAAAATTTTAATACTAATCATAAAATTAGTATAAATTCATCATAATTTTTCCGAATTTGTTAAAATCTTTTAATTTATTTAAAATTAATAAAAAATATTATATTTATAATTATAATATCATATTAATAATATTTAATATTCAAATTTTAATAAATATTTAATAAAAAGTTAACTAAAATATTTTTAAATTTAATTAATATACTTTAAAAATGCTTTGATTTGTTTAAAATATTATAATAAAACTTATATTGATTTAAATTATAAATTATTTTTAATATTCAACAACAACATCAAGCCTTTATCCCACTACGTTGGGTCGGCTACATGAATCATTTCTCTCCATTGTGTCCTATTAAAAGTAAAATTCTCATTTAAATCTAATAAAGAAAGGTCCTAATATTTTCTAACCAAGTTTTTTTAGGTCTACCCCTACCTTTCTTAACATAAGTCAAATCTAATACCTCTACTCTCCTAATTGGGTCATCGGAAGGCCGCGTTTATTGTGACCAAATCATCTAAGGCGATTTTCTGTGATCTTATCTTCTACTGGAGCAACTCCAACCTTTTCACGTATATGCTTCATTTCTATCATATCTCTAAAGGTAAAGCCACTCATCCACCTGAGCATTCTCATCTCTGCCACACTTAACTTAGTATTATTGCTTCTCTTTTAATGGCCAACATTCGGCACCATAAAGCATTGCAGGCCTTCACTACCATCTTATAGAATTTTAACCTTAAGTTGAGGGGTCATTATCAATCACATAACAAGCCCGATGCATTCCTCCACTTCAACCATCCAAACTTGAATTCGGCTGATAATATCCCCATCTATTTCACCATCACCTGAACAATAGATCCCAATATATCTAAATGTTGTACTCTTATGAATGACTTGATCGCCAAAGTCATAATCCCCCTCACTTAGGTCTATATACTACTAAAATTACACTATATATTCCGTTTAGATCTACTCAAGCAAAATCTATTTAGACTCTAAGGTTGACCTCCATAATTTAAGTTTACCTTCAACTCCCTCTCTAGTCTTATCAACAAGAAGGAATATCATCAGCAAAAAGCATACACCAAGGTACATCATCTTGCAAATGTCTAGTGAGAACACCATGACTGAAAGCAAAAAGATATGGGCTTAAGGATGAATCTTATGATGTAACCCAACTGAAAATAGGGAAATACTTGTCAATCCACCTTGTGTTTGAACAAAGTAATAGCTCAGCATACATATCTTTAATGATTTGAATATAAGTATTATTGACTCCTTTCTTTTCAAGCCATAGCACTACCTTGAACTTTATCAAAGCTTTTATTTAATTTAATATCAAACAAAAATTATTTTAAAACATTAAAATATATTTTAAATATTATTAAATATTAAATATTTAAATATCTAAATAATATTTAATTAAATACAAAATGAAATATTTTAAAATTTTTTATAAAATTAATTCTAAATCAATTCAAATTTTTTAAAAACATTAATATTATATTAATAATTTTTAAAATTAATTTAAATAATAATTCTTTTAAAGTTAAAATACTTTAATTTGAAATTAAAATTTTATTTTAAAATATTATATATTTTGAATAATTTTAAATATTTAAATACTTAAATATATAATTGATATTTAATTAAGATAAATTCAATAATTTTAAAAAATTTACTTTTAAACAAAATAAATTTTAGAGTATAATTATATTTTTATTTAAATTGATTTAAAATTTATTTTTGAATATTAGTTATTTTTAAAATTTTAAATACATTTTAATTATTATAAACTTTAAATTCAATAGAAATTCAAATTAATCAGAAAATTTAATATTAATATATTAATTTTTAAGAATTTTTTAGTATTTAATTTAAATTTATTTCAAAATTAAAACTTTAATGTTATTTAAATAATTCTAATTTTTTAATATTTAATTATTTAATTAATATTAAATGAAAAATATAATAAAAATAATAAAATAGAAATAATCTAATATACAAAATATAATATAATAATAT